CTTGGATTTGTTCAACGATATCTTCTTAACCAAGAATTCGATAGAAATTATTGAAATAATTTATCATTGAACAACGTCATTTGATATGTCTCATTTTTGCTTCCTTTTTGTCAATACATTCCCAATCTTTAATCATAATTTTACTTCATTTATTTCAATGATTCACAACTATCATTATTATCTATCTGATTGGTTTCTCGATTAAAATTATCATTTGTTAGTTCGAACAAGATGTTGAAGAGTCTGTATGATTTTAATGATTAAACACAGTAGACACGTATCGGATTAATATTGACGGATATTAACGGACAGAAAATGATACGAAAAGCTTTCTGTACATTTATTACTCGGTCTGTTTAGTCATGTTGATTCCATTGGCTTTTCACTTATCGAATTTAGTTTGATTTGCTCATACTGTACTTAGACATTTATAAGCACCTGGAAAAATACTGGCGCTAAAAATATGATGAAAAATTGAGTTCATCGATTTATTTCTATCCGAGTTTGTTCATTTTCTCTGATATATACTTCAAAGAAAAATTAAACAAAAGAAAGAAGAGAAAATTCATGTACGAGAGTCACCACGCGAAGATAGAATTACAATGAAAATATTAATATATAGATCATTAGCGAAGATTCTGGACACGATTACCCATACGACTTTTTTCTCCGATGGATCTCATCATTATTCAGTATCCGTACGCATAAAAATATGGTATAGTGAACACAAAAAAAAGGATACAAAGTGGCGAATTTTCGAATCCCGATCCTGACTATAAGAAGATGTATTTTTACGAAGAAAATTCGAGAGGTTTTTGCAGAACACATTTTTTTTTATCTATTTCTTTTTAATAAACGTTTTTCATGAATGATCTTATCCATAGGTAACATCTCGTTTACCAGGGAATAAGCAAAATATTATTTATTCCAAACCAAAGACATTAATACGTATAGAAATACAAAAATAAATCAATAAACTGCAAAATCCTTGAAAAATCCACCATCAAATAAGCCTGAGGTAGTTATATCCGTTGTTTCATTCTTTCACGACGGTTTTCTGACGTGTACAATGTTTAAACATATTCCATAATGTATACTTAATAACAATAATTTTAAGTGAAAATCTTTAGAAATGAAACGTAAATTTACGTTACCTTAATCAAATGTAAAAAAGTATCATAGAAAGATAACAACATAGCGATTGTCTCTTTCTGCGTTCAAAACAATGCTGCTTGTATTTGATTATTCTTCTCATAGTGAAAAACACATAAAATAATTTTCAACAATAGTTTATATTTTCCTTCATGTTAAACTTATTGTGGAAAAACATCGTCTTCATCGATTATACATTGACATTCATAATCTAAATGGTCGAAATCACCTGAGTATGTGTTTTGACTGATTAATAATGATATTAAAGAAAGAGAATCAACAGTTCATGAAATAATAATAACAACGACAAAAAATAGTGAAAGTAATACAACTAATACAATAAGAAAATGTACTACTTTCGTTAGAACTAAATGCTTGAAAATAAAAATTAAAGAAAAAGAATAAGAAGCAATTTCAAAATTCAACACATCATCTAATATTTCAGTACTTTCACAATTAACTACAAAATGACTATAATGAAATATCATAAAACATATATGAGAAAGAAAACAAGACTCAATAAGTCAGTGACGAAATGAAATAAGTGATAATTGTCGGATTCATTCGATTTTCTATTGCTTGTTTTATTATTCGCGTATAAATAATTTAAGGAAATAATAGCATCATTTTTAATCTTACGAGGTCATTATCTCAACTATAGTCGGCCATCTAAATTCATATTAAACCCACAAGGGTGTGGGTCTTGATAACACTAGAAAAATTCTAAAAGGGTTCGTGCTCATGAATTTCAGAAGCCGAGTTATGATCATTTTATTAAATTTTCGACTCATTCTTAGGTATTTACACTAAAATCAAGTAATGCAATTTTAACTTGAAATTCAATCCGTAAATATTATCTAATGATTTTGGAAATATCCTGTTCTTTCACTTACTTTTCTTATTTGTTATGAATTGTGCAAGTTGTTGAATATTCTCAATATGTTGAAGATGAAGTTTAGTATTAATCATTAAACTATCATAATTACAATTAATTGTTTCTAATCAACGTTTTACTTTATTATCATTATCCTCATTTAAATTTATTGCTGAATTTTATAATAAAAGTCAACCTTTTTTTTGTTTAATAATTCGACTTGTTCATAATATTTTTCTAAATCATCATTAGTTTTTTTTAAATTCATTAAATCATTAGCTAGGTGATGAAATTCACGTAAATCTTCTTGATGTAATTGTATATAATCAGTTTTAGCAAGAAAATATTTGATATAAGTAGTATTAATTAAATTTAAACTACTTGTTTAATATTCATCAATGGTTGAAAACATCAATTTAAATTGATCGGCCATATTCTATGTTTAATAAGTTAAATTTTTTTAAATATACATTGCTTTTGTTTATGAGAAAGTCTCTTATTACAATTTACTAATCGGTGATCAAAAAGTAATTTGACAAAATGCTCATTCATTTTTCAGTCTCTTAGACGAGTCTGTAAAAGTTTTAAAACATTGAATTAGAGTCAGCATTTTGTGTTCTTTTCTGAATTTGGTGATGCTCGAATATTAAGTTAGAACGGAGTATATATTGACGTTTTCTTGTGGCAATAGTTTCTTCTATTATATACGTAATATGACTGCTTTGTTTTTGCATGAAATAAAACGTGAGAATGTTCTCTACAACAATCTAATATGAACAATTATTCATAAATGATCGAGATCACTTTGAAAGTTTGTTTTTTACAGAAATCGACAAATTGATACAGTGTTCTTTATCAAAATATTACTGTTGACAAATAACTTGCAGCAAACTAATTATTAGTATTTCATTTTATGGAAAAATGTTTACACTTTCATTCGTCTCTATATTTGAAATAATTTTCGCTTTCACTTTGAGTAATTTTTGACGCATTGAAATTCGTCGAAATTTAATGTATAGGTCACTAAAAGGTCGCCTCATAATTCTTAAATAGAATTCTTACAACAATTTTGAAACTATTTTCAGAAAAAAGCACAAGATGTTTTCAAATTTCTACAAGCTTCTTTAAGAGACTAGAAAAATGAACGAACATTTTGTCAAATTACTTTTTGATCACATATTATTAAAAATGTGATACTAAATAATATGTTTTCTATTAAAGCGAACTCAAACAATGAAAATTATAAAATATTTATGAAAATAAAATCTGACGGTTGAACATGCTTCAAATGGATCAGGAATAGCAGGAAAACAGTTTGAGAATAAAGGAGAAATTGTCTTGGAGATTCTTATTGCATAAAATTGAGATCTATCGCTAGCTGATAAAGATGGTGAATCATGAATTTTGTCTTAGAATCAGCTAGATTTCTCTGATTTGGTTAAAAAAACAACATTAGATTTGAAGTGTTAGCTTGAGTTTTGATCCAATGAATTGTAATGAATTTCATCAGATGAGACAATAAGGCTTTTCTTTTCAAATTAGGCTCATACAAAACATCTACTTACAAGGAAACATTACAAGTGATTCTCTCTGTGTTAATTCATTCATGCCTCATCCGATAGAGTATATTGAAATAAGAAAAGGCCTAAAAGAATTCGTGCCCATAGTCTAGTAGTGAAGAATTATGGCTGTTTTATGAAATTTTTACCGTGAGTCAGTCATTTCGGAAAAAAACAAAATGAAGAATTTCGAGCTGAAATCCTATCTATAGATAGATTTAATAGTCATTACATAGTCCTGAAAGTTTCAACGAAAATGAACGTGTCTTTCTCGAGATATTCAATGTCCAACTAAACTGGATTATTGTGCCCTTCTATGGTAAACAGCTGTTTTTTTTAAATTGAATAACTCGAGAAAGACACGTTCATTTTCGTTGAAACTTTCAGAACTATATAATGACTATTAAATCTATCTATAGATAGAATTTCAGCTCGAAATTCTTCATTTTGTTTTTTTCCGAAATGCCTGACTGACGATAAAAATTTCAGTAAAACAGTCATAACTCTTCACTATTAGACCATGAGCACGAATTCTTTTAGGCTTTAACTTATCTCAGTATATTCTATCGAAGGAGGTATGAATGAATCGAAACAAAGAGAATCACTTGGGAATGTTTCCTCGTTAGTGCTATTGCAGATTCTCTTATTTTCTTTCCAAGAAAAATTAATATAAATCTAACTATAATTATCAAGTTCATTTCAAGTTCCTATGAAATATTAGTAAAACAAATCTCAATTCAGAAAGTAGTCGAATCGATAATTACCGTTTTTTTAAAAGTGAAAAGTCCAGGCAACTTGCAATATTGTTTCTTGGATAAAGGTATATGTTTTGAGCATAAATCAAATCATCGTTGAATTTATGAATTTACGATTCCTTCATCAGAGTTTCTATTACTTTAGAAATGAAATGAAATCGTCTTTAGCTGTTCAGGATAGAGGCTTTCAACAATAAACTGTGAATATTGCGTTAAAGATACAAAAGTATATAGATAAACATGGTAAAGCATGTTTTAATGCAATTGCAACTTATCTCTATCTAGGTAAGTTTGATTACAGTTGATAAACATTTTTGTCTTATTTAGCCATGTGCTCTTACAATAATTTTGACGTTATTTATTTATTTTTATTTTATTCGTCATGCAACAGATGATAACCAACACTGCTATCTTTTTTGAGTGACTCTATTTGCGCGTTGATGGTGCAAGACAAACACTTCATAATAAAGCTGTATAAAAAGGCAGCAAAATTATTTCATTCTCCATTAATAACTTCTTTAGAGTTCACTTTAGTATAAGGAAATTTTTACAATGAATATCTTCTTCACGATTGTATCTCTAGTCGCTATCTATATTGGTATGAGTCCATTGAAAATATTAAAAAAACTCTAGTATTGTATTAAAATATTTTTCATAGGCATGGCTCAATGCAACAATGGCACACAAATATCTGCAGAACGAGTTAGCTATCAGTGCTATTATTGTTCGAATTGTCCGCAACCGTTCAATGCTTTGAGTCCATATGTCACGCGAGTCCCTTCAAACACGGGTTGGTGTGCTGTAAGTTAACTTAATTTATAATTTTCTTCGATCTTGATCAATTGGCTATTGACTATATTTATAGATGATGAGCCGTACGAATTCACTCGATGGAATTTATACTCGAGGCACTGCACAACCAGGTCTCTGCAGTTCTACTGGATGTTCATGGAAGACGGTCGGCGGAGTTACTACATGGGTTTGTTGTTGTAATCAAGATTTATGCAACGCATATATTCCAAAAGCTTGTTACTATTGTTCAAACTGTCCACGACCATTCAATCCTTACAGTTTATCTGTTTCACAAGTCGATTCAACCACGGGTTGGTGTGCTGTAAGTTTGTTTATTTCTATAGCTTATAGAACAAGATCAGTGTGAAACAATGAATCTATTTGTAGAAGATGAGCAGAACGAGTTCACCCGATGGAATTTATACTCGAGGTGATGCTCAACCAGGTCTCTGCTATTATAATGGCTGTACGTGGAAGATGATCAATGGAGTTAACACATGGGTTTGTTGCTGTAATCAATATCACTGCAATACCGGCATTTCTACATCAAAATCGACTGCTAGTCTTTTGATCGCTACATTGGTGATCATTATCATGAGTTTTAAGAGCTTTTAATGTTCTTTATATCATGACTTTTCTGATACTTTGTTTAATAAATTGATGCCATTTTGACTTTCTTTTTATTTATATTTTAGTGCTAATTGATATTAAAATAAAATGAAACATTCTGAAAGAAAATATCAAAAGTCAGTTATTCGGTATATGAATTATATTGATTATGTTTGTACTTAACTATATTGAAGATCTGTCTAAGTCTATTCAAACTGAAAATAATGATCTTGTAAAGGGTGTGAGAGTGAGTGTGGGCGTGGGTGTCATTGAGACAAGAAGCACACCCACACCCTCTCTATGAAATAATATCACAACAATTTTTTTGGCTTCAGATGAGACATTCATACAGAAGTATACACAAGATGTGTATGATATAATGATTTCACCTTTTTTTACAGATAAAAGATCATATTGAACGTGTCATTCAGGGATAAAATATATATGATTAAATCTTTAACAAAGAGAAACAAAAATTCAGATTGCCAACGATTCATGACGAATAGAAAATGAAATTCTTGTCATTCTCTTTCTATTTTTTGTTGGAAAGTAAATAAGTATACGATGTGCAACCACTATTTCATATTTTAATATTAAACTATTGGTTCACTCTAATTCAATCTTCAAAAATACTAGAATCTTTTTATCATTCATTTTATTCAAATAATCAGAATAATTCTATTTACAAGGAAGGAAAGTAAAGATAAACATCTCTCGAATGCATCATTATTTCTTCGAGAATTAGCCATTTCACTTTAGCACAATTGACTCGCGTTGCATCTCTCGTGAAGTTTTCTGTCACAGTTGCTAAATTATGATAATGTATTTTTAATTTGGTTAAAAAAGGTAGATATGTTTTTGTATTATTAAGAAATTGTTCAACATAATCAATCTTCGCATGCTTTATGTTAAGTGATATAAGATGAGGAAATATAACGATTGAATATGATTGGTTATCTTGAAATTGTAGTTTTTCACCATCCCAGAACCGGTACTGTAATCTATAATTCAAAACCTGCAATACCTTAAGCAACGGAAAAGATCGTGCAATTCGAATGAAGAATTCATGTTCAAAAGAAAACCGAATCAAACACCTTCAAAAAAGTAACATGATTGAAAGCAATATTTGGAAACATATTGCCAAGATATTCGAGACGATTAAATGAAAACGGAAGTGAAAAGACATGACATATGCTTGTGCCAGAGTTGTAGTTTACCATAAAAGTCACTTGCTGGTGTTGTACTTTATTAAAAGTTTGTTGAATATCGTTAATAGATGACGGATGAATTCTATTAGCAATGTCAATCTCAGTACGAATATAAAAAGTAAATGTACGAAGTCGTGGCATATGAATAAGAATTTCATTATAAAGATGTGTGCCATCCACGAATACAGCTCGATTTTGTATTGAAAGATGCAAAATTAATTCTGCGAGATGTGACATACGACGAAGAAGAGGTACAACTTGTGCATCATAAGCTTCAATTAACCTGTATGTTAATGAGAAATACTTCAGATTAGGTAAATCATCCTAGAAAATACAAAACAATATTTGTGAGAAGAAAATTTATATAGAAAATTCTTCGAAAAGAGACTATGTGTTTTAAATTTTCCTGATAGGTGTTGTAATCTATGAAATATACAATATTCAGAAATGATGATTAAGTCAATTACTTTCTGTTTCTAAATTTTCAATAATGGGAAACGATAAATATTAAGAATATTGAGAGAATAATTATGACAAGAGATAGTATATTAAATTACTTATATAAAGTTTTTCTTTTCAATCCATTTCAAAATGTTTATGAAATAAGACATAAATTTACCATATGATGATCAAACATTGAATGATTCTTTGTACTATAAACAATAACAATTAATGTTGAGAACTGTCTAAGACGACCATCAAGTAAACAAAGACAATCTTGTAATGAACTTAGACTGATACATAATCTGATAAGAGTTAAAGAAGAAAAAGTAGTCGATGGCAAGTCAGAAAGTGACAAAGGTTGACATTGTTTCTTCGACAATCCAACAATACTCAAATGCGTTGAATTTTTGAAGAAAATCAAAATATGTATATACACATCTTCAGCGTAACTCTTCACTGATATTGTGCTCATGTCTTCATTACATAGAAGACTGCGATCTGTAATTTGTTGTCGAAAAATACGTTGAAAAAACGATTCATCGAAAAAGAAAAATAGTGTAATTTTTTCTTTTCATTACTTTTGTTTTTGAATTCTTGAGCAGTTGAATACATGAATTATTTACCTGTAAAATAAGTTGAAGTGATGTTTTGGTTAAAATTGAAGAGTTTTAGTTCACTGAGATAAGGATAATCAGCAGCGAAAAGAATTCGTTCCATATATGTTGAGTCAAGAATGAGATATTTCACATTGTGATGAACTCTTGGCAATATATCGAAGCGGAAAGGATCAAGTATTGAGGCAGGAATTAAATAAATATCATCATTTACTGTCGATACAAAATTGAGAATATTTGTAAAAATCTTTTCTTTTGCCAAATTGTCAAGTCTTTTATTATTAATACTCAATAGTGAATAAAGCACATCAATATGATCAAGTTTTTTCAAAATAATGAGCAATATTTCATTAGGAAGATCAAGAAGGTGAACATTAGATCGAATGGATGGGAAAAGGAAGAAAGGAAAAATATCGAAAGGAAAAATATCGAAGAAAAATATCGAAAATAAAATATCGAATGGAAAAAAATCGAAAGCGAAAATGTCGAATAGAAAATATCGAAAGGGAAAAATATCGAAAGTTAAAACATCTGAATAAGAAATAATG